GATTGTGGCGAGTCTTGGGTGGCATTACAAGGGATGTCAGCCTCTCCATGACAGTAACATTCATCTGCTCCCACAGAAGTTCTGTCAACCCTCGGGAAGGGGTCAGGCTGAAGGGCACGTGACTTAGCAGCTGACATATGCAATCTTTCTCAGAAGTGTGTAGCCCAGAGTGAGTGCTGGCTACTAAGAACTGGGGTTTCAGAAATAGAAAATTCAAGTTATAAGCCTCCGGGGCAGGATCTGGAGCTTTAGGTCCTGCAGACATGCTAGGGCCCTCGGGGCAGCCTGGGGGCAGGCCACTCAGTGTGTAAATTCTGAACCTGTAAGGAAAAAAATAGGATTCTCTTAGCACTTGGAAATTGTAAAATAAAATCCCCACTGTCAGGAGCCTCTGTTATGTGAGCCTGTTCTCCTGCAAGATCTACCTCTGGGCTGCTGTTCTGGGCCTCCCTAGTCATGTGTGCATGTGGGGTGTGGGGGGGCATGTCTATGGTGTATGCGTGTAAGTACATGGTGTATGTGTGTATGTATGTGTTGTGTGTATATAGTATGTGTATGTGGTAGGTGCGTCTGTGTGTCTGTGTGATGTGTGTGATGCAGGTGTGTACACGTGTGGGTGTGGAGTATAAGAGTATGAGATGTGTATTGTGGTGTGTGTAGTGTATGTGTGTGGTATGTGTATATGTGTATTGTGTGGTCTGTGGTAGGATGAATGTATGGTGTGTGTGATGTATGTGTGTATGTGGAGGGAAGGTATGGGGGACATGGGAGTATGAGATAGGTATTACAGTATGTGGAAGGTTGTGTTATGAGTTTATGTGTGTGTAGTATGTGTATGTGTTTGAGGTACAAGGTGTATGTGTTGTGTGTGTGGTGCATTCGTATGTGTGGAGGGTGTGGGAGGAGTGTGTGTGTTGTGTGTCTTATGTGTATATGCATGTGTAGAGTGTGGTGTGGGAAGGTGGGAAATACGTAATGTGTGGATGTGAAGTGTGCATGTGTGTTATGTATAATATGTGTGTGTTGGGGTGGAGTGAGTGTGAGGTATGTGTATGCGTGTTGTATATGTGTATTGTGTGTGTGTAGAAGGTGTGAGATGTGTTGTACATGTGTGTTGGGGATATAGTGGTTATGCGGTGTATATAGTATGTTATGCCTTGCTGGCCCCTCTACCATCATGCACCAGATGCCAGGAGCAGGAAACGGAACATTTGGAGACCTGGCCTCCAGCTCTGGGAACACGTAAGGGCAAGGACCTGGTGTGGAGTCCATGTCCTCTGAGGGAAGCCCTGGGCTTACCCTCTGCTTTGTTATCTGTCTAGGCCACAGGTTAATGAAGGAAAGACTGACCTTCACCATATTCAAACAGGCTCATTGTGTTAGGCACTGCTGGCTCTTTGGGTTGCTGTGACAGAAGCCCCTTAGGAAGGAAGGGTTTATTTTGGCTCGCAGTTTGGCCATGACGTGGGAGCAGAAGTATGAGGTCGCCGGTCACATCACACTCAGTCAGAAAGCAGAGAAAGAGGAATGCTGGCCGGCGCTTGGCTCCCTTCCTCCTTTTTACTTAGTCAGGATCCCCATGGGATGGTGCCATCTAAATTCAGAGTAGATCTTCCTACCCCAACTATCCCAAGCTGGAAATCCTCTTGCTGACACCCCCAGTTTTGTTCCGGCGGGACTCTCAATTCAATGAAGATGGAGAAATATTACTCCCGTGGAATGGGTTCATCCTGAAGCAGGAAGATAAGAACGAACTTATTTTCTTCTGCCCCGTTTCCTACTGGTTTCTCTGAGGGTCAGGCTAAGGCTACTTCATGAACAGCCAAAGAGTCTCTAATGCATCGACCTTTGATAGGCATCTCTGACCTCCGTGACCCCTCCCTTCACTTGCGCTGTTCCTCTTGGGAATTACCAGGACAGCGCTTTGACACCCCCTACCTTCTTGAGTCCTAGTTCAACACAATTGCCCCTCCATTTCATAGCCCAGGTAGCTACTTGGGTCAGCGTCTATCCACGGATCAGACCTTGTCATGTGGACTGGGGACTTTCTAAGGACCTGGTCCCTGCCTTACTCCCTCTGTCCTGGCACACAGCATAGTACCTGGGATACCTGAGTGGTTGTGTCATGCATGTTATGTAAGTGAGTCAGGGGAGGAGGGAACCGGCAAGCCTCACCTGTGTGCACATACGCACAGCAGCAGACCCACAGGCTGAAAGACTAAAGGGCCCCCTTGCCCACGTATCCAGAGCAGAGACTGTTGTTTGGTTTCTGGCCATGAACTCTGTGTTGGCTTTGTCCCTGTGGCATCTTCCAGTCTGGACCCCCTGGTCTTCTGGACCCGGAGTTCCCGGCTCAGTCCCTGCCTCATCTTCTATGGGATGCTACTTGGTGTGACCCACCCATCCCTGCTGAGCCCTAGGAGTGGGGGCAAGAAGAAGCTCTCGAGTCAGTCCAAGGCATGTCCCAGCTTAGCATCACAGCACTTACCCAGGCATGTGTCATGTTCACTCTCGTAATCTCAGAGTCACCATCGCTGACCCTCCCCTTCCTGTCAACATCCTTAAGTAGGTAAAGGTAAGACTCTAAGCCTAATGAAGCCTCTCGTGCAGAGGTCTCACCTGCACGCTGCTTCCCTGTCACTCTGAGACTATGCCCTGAAAACAGGGCTAATCTACTGGCCCATCAGTAGCCTCAACCATGCTCTTTGCATAACCTTTATCTATGTGTCTGCCACAGTGGGCTCCCTCACATGCCACCATCATCTTGGACCACCAATGGGGTCCTGTGCCTTACCCATGCACCAGTCTTGGCTGGAGAAGGTCCACCTTACCCTGCACTTCACATTTGATTTCCCATTACCTCTCATTGACTTTGAACTTATGCATAGAGCAGACTCTTCCTTCCTGATCCCCCAAATACTCAGTACTATTTCCTTTGTGTATGTAGTATGTGTGGTATGTGCATGTGCTACTGCAGATGTGTATCAATGTGTGTGTGTGTGTGTGTGTGTGTGTCAGGTCAGTGTCTGATGGCTTCTTCTAATACTCTCCTTTTTTTAAATTTTTTTTTTTAAGATTTATTTATTTATTATGTATACAGTGTTTGATCTGCATGTATGACTGCAGGCCAGAAGAGGGCGCCAGATCTCATTACAGATGGTTGTGAGCCACCATGTGGTTGCTGGGAACTGAACTCAGGACCTCTGGAAGAGCAGTCAGTGCTCTTAACCTCTGAGCCATCTCTCCAGCCCCTACTCTCCACCTTCTTTATTGAGACAAGGTCTCTCACCAAACCAGAAGCTCTGGTTGGCCAATGAAGTCAATGCACCCCTCCTCCCAGGGTTGAGGTTATAGACTCTCACCACCGTGCCTGGCTTTTTACATGGGTACCAAGGATCTGAGCCCAGGTCCTCATGTTTGCACTGCCTTATGCACTGATTAACTTTAACTAACCCCTTGATGCTAATTTCTGCATCACCTGATAGCTCTCTTGGTCCACTTGGTTCCAGCCTCTCCAGGGAGCCATCTTTTATTTTACACTTCCGTTCCACTTCGACACACCCCGTCTGAACTAGGCCACCCGCCACCCTTGTGCTGTCAGAGGTTGGATCTGTAACTTAGCATTCGTGGAACTTTCAAAGCAGATTCTGAGTTCTGATTTTTATCTCGTGTTGCTTCCATCGCCTGCCAGAAGGAAGAATGTATGGAAATGATGCAATATCAAGGACTCCACGTGGACTGAGCTTGGCGGGCAGGAACTGTGCTAAGCATCAGTTCAGAACTCTCACTCATATCTTGTTTATAGAAAAAATTGGGTTTGCAAGGGATATTTTTGTTTGTGTTGGTGGCAGGCTCTGTTTTTTCCCCCTTAGTGTAGTTTTTTTGTTTGTTTGTTTTGGGATACAGTCTTTTTATGTAGTCCAGGCTATCCTGGAACTCACTATGCAGCCCAGGCTGGCCTCAGACTCACAGAAGATCCCCCTGCCTCTGCTTCCTGAGTCCTGGGATTAAAGGCGTGCGCCACCACCGCCTGCAAGCAGGCTCTACTTTTGTTTCTGCTTTTTCTTCTTGTTCTTCCTTCCTTCCTTCCTTCCTTCCTCCCTTCCTTCCTTCCTTCCTTCCTTCCTTCCT